CCTCCCCTCATCGCCCCCCCCAACAAACAGAACCAAAAGCTTTTGCGTACTCAGCGTTTATTACAAATAGTAAGAAATGGTCCCTGGGAGAAGGTAACACGCGAGTAAAAGTCCCTTTTTCTGGGTGTTTTTTACACACACCCCCCCAACTCCGCTGATTGCATGAGGTGCGATTAAACCACCCCCTCGCCGTTTAACAAATCCAGCGCGGATTTAACTTCTAGTCATATTTACAATACTTTACAAGCTATATTAAATAAATAAGGGCTCCGCTACACCTCAGCGTCTTAAATATGTACAACATTGTTTCTCCGTCGGGTTTTACCAGAGAAGATGCGGGTCCTACCCCGGGGGCTGTGCCGACCGTAACCGGTAACCCTGCTGGTTAAGGACCACGACCAACCAGCCCTCAACATAACAACTCCCAGCCACTCCAAGGTACGTGCGGTAAATAATTTAATCCATTTGAACAAACTCAAGTCCTTAAATCTTAGTCTACAGGTAACGAGCTGCACACCGGTCACCTGAGGTTTCCCTCCCGGTAACCAACGTAGTCAATAGTTGGCCGTTCTGGAAGTGCAGCGCTCCATAGCTGAGGGGAGCGATACGTGGGTAGTAAAAACAGTATTTCAATGAAACTCCTTTATTTATCGACATGTTTAACTCGGCACTGGCTTTATCCATGTAATCTGAAGAATTTAAGCACCAAAAAAGAAAAACAGTCACTCAAGATCGGTGTAGGCGTATTTAGGCTTTCTTTAGGTACAATGTTTTCAAGCAACAGAATCCAAAGCTGTGCAACAGAGATGACGAAGGGGAGTAAATGTGCATCGTATCGGACAGCCTGTTCTTGTTCTAAATGGCAGCATTTATTCTATACACTACTTGCAAAAGAATGGAATGTATTCTCATTTTTTAAGCTACTTTTACTGTACATAAATTGGATGAGAGTCAGCCCTGGTTGGTTTAGAAAACACGTATTTTACCTCTCTCTGCCAGGAAGGGTCATTTCCTATTACAGGAGACACATTCCCTGCGGAAGGCAGCCTGTCACTCCACCGGCAGTATCGCCAAATGGGTGATTAACAGTGCTCGGTGATTAACAGTTCACCCGAGCATCTGGCCAAGCCTCACTCCCTCTTGGGGTTACCGACTTTGGGACTCAAACAAACACCCTGCAGGCCACTGCCTATAACATCCAGCTACTTCGCGAACTCACACACAGCAGCTTTCAGCCACTGGGCTCTGAGCTGCAAGACACTCAAATTTTGCCTGCCTGTCACATCACGGGAGGTACCAGACCCGCTCCAGCCATCCTCACAAGCAGCAAGGCTCCCCTTCGACTGCCCAAAGTGTCCTCCGTCACATCCACAGGTTCACATAAAAAGCTGCTGCTGCCCATCCTCTGCATGCTGTGCGGTTACAGAAAGTAGACGAGGCTTCAGAAGCAGAGCTATCCGTCTGGCATCGCTCACAAGCACTATGACTAGATTTTGTTAAAAACATAGGAAGCCTGTTCTAAAGTAATGTAGTGTAGTCGTTGGTCCCATACACTTGGAATCTGTCTGATGAAAAGTAACGTGCAAAAAGTATGTGTAATTGCACACGTAGCACGTTGGTGTAATTACCAGAACCCTGCTCAGAAATCTGCACAGTCACAGCAGTAGCTGCTCGGCTAAACGCTCCCATAACCAGAGGAATCACATGGGTATTTTGGATGCAGAACACTGGTCACCAACTCGAAAGTCCAAATACTAAGGTTTCCACGAAATAAAATGGTTTAAGAATCAAGTGGCATCATACCTGGTTCGATGGCAGGAATCACAGGGTATCACATCTGACAGGGGAAGAGATGCAAAGGTTAAACAGGAGATGAGAAGTCCACCTGCACTACGGAGCGAGACACCAGACAGCGCGCACGCAGCCTTTTTCGCTTCCAGGATTCAAAACCATTTTAAAAAAGATACATTTCACATTTATTTACAGTATTACTGTGTTAGAATGCCTGATGGTGTATTATCACAGAAATACATGATGCCAGTGATATATACTGATTGTCCTACTGTATACTATGTCATGATGAGGCAGTACAGCGAGAAATTACCGAAAGCATCAAGCAAAGCTACTTGAACTGAGACACTGAAACTTCTCCCTTAAAGACTGGACAATATTCTGCTGATTAGGAGACGGTACTCTCCACAGGTAGTCGTTCAGTTTGTCCGAATCACTGTACGCAGTCAGGTACGGGGTAAGGGAGTGTTTGCTGCTGGCAGACTTTGCAGGAGTACAAGAGACGGTTTTGCCGCAGAGCGTTTCAGAAGGAGCAGTGTCTGAGCTACGCAGTTTAGGATCCAATTTCCTTGTTTGGTTCTGAGGAGTCTCCAGGTCAGATCCCTCATCTTCAGACTTTATTTCAACGTAGTCATCATCATCCCCTTCTCCTTCTTCAGTATCTTTGAAATTCAAAAAATAGTTCTGAGTGGCCATCTGTGCCGTCAGAGGGGAGGCCCTGTTCACTCTCAGGACCTTTTGAGAATCCTGCAGAATCATATCCGAACAGTTTTCAGGGATCTGCTTTCTCGTATCAGGGCCCATACACCCCGAAGCAACACCTGGCGTCTGATGGCTGTTGAATCGGAAGTTCCTATTCGAATGGAGCCTTTTCCTGTCCGTTTCATTAGGATACACGATCGATTCTCCAGACCTGTTGACCACAATTGAGGAAGACGACTGCGACCTGCTGTATGCCTGTGGTTTTACATTGCTTACTCTTCTCCCAAGGGAGTTATAGATGTGATCTTGATTTAAATTTTCTTTGTTCGGTTGGCTTATGATGGCACTCCACCTCTGTGCCGGGACATGCAAACGGTTAGAAATCTGAAGGGAAGGCACCGAGCCAGCTGACGGCAACAGCCTTGAATTGCTTTTTGTACCAGCTTCTGTATACGAGCTCTTGGACTTTGGGTCTTGGGATTCAGGCCACGGAGAGAAGTCGGCCAGCTCACCGTTACTGTACGTAGAATGCAAAAGCCAATCTTCTGCTCTCGAGCATTCGCCGGCAGCCTGGGAACGGGGAGGAGACGCAGCCACGGGTGTGGAAAACCTCGCAGCTGACAGCTCCTGAGGAGCGGCCCAGGCTTCCTTTTGGACCTTAGGTGAACTTTCTCTAAAGACGATTTGGTCATAAAGCTGAGAATATTCAGCTATTCTGGCACCTAGAAAGGAGAGAGAATTAACTTAGCAGAGGCATGCAATCCATTCGAATGAGTTGTGTGAAGATTTAAAAATCCCCCAATGCTTTGTTACTGGTCAAGAGAAAAGTTTACAGCTGTGTCAGTATCTTCAGCCTCAACAAAGCAACATGAACAACAGAGGCTGGAAGAGCCGTGTGCTGCACTGCATTCCACTACATTGTATTGAGAAAAAGCAGCATAAAATATCTTGCGACAGTGGACGGTCACGGAGGATGCAATGCAGCACACCGTTCCAACAATACACTGCTGCTTTCATGTTAAAATAGAAAAGAACATTCTGAAAACGGCCTGGTAAACAAGATATTTAGGGACTTTTATAAATACCATAAGAAGGCAAGAATGACACTCTAGTTCGTGGAGTCCGCTGGCTCCATGTCTCCCATTTGTTTCAATCAACATGGACAAAAACAGTTCCAAAACTGTTGCACATCCACAACATTGCACTTTCGTTAGAGCACGACCACCAGCTCTTTCTTATCTGACCCCATTCCTTATGCTTATAAGCACAATGTGGACGGTACCTGTACAAACGTACATGACTTGTTAGGGGGTGAACCTACCTGAAAATACACCTTCTTAGTCAAATTCTAAAGATCACGCTGTTAAAGGAAATAACTGCTTGTCTGTAAAGAGGCCAATAGTGCTTCAGGCATGATTTCTATTTCCAGGCTCAGCTGAATTGATCCTTCCTGACACTACCCCGCTATTTCTTCCCAATTTTATCAAGTAACAACAAGAATTGAGATATAAAGGACTATTCATGTTAGAAGCAGTCACAGAAAACTCATTGCAGTGGCAACACAGAAAATGCAATACTGATACTCAACTAACAAGTAGGGGAAAATTAATCATCTTCCAGTTCAGTACATAAACATCACTGAAAGTTGCTAAAGAAATACATCCGTACAGAAATATTTTTAACATACCAATAGCAGGACCCCCTTGTTTCTTCTCCTCCAGAATAGCCGCAAGATCTTTGTGTTTCAGTTTCTGTTGTCTGCCAGCTGGCTGCTCCTGCTCTGGGCTTTTAACTTTCAAAAGCTGGTTAGCCTTCTTAATTTTTTGACTGTACTGCCTTGCCATCATAAAAACTCTGTTCTTTGTTTTATCCATGACAGCCAGGTCATTTTCCACGCCCTCTGCATGTGTGTTGGACAGAACGCTATTGGCAGATTCATATGGGCTATCTACAAAAGGCATCTCACTGGAGAAGGAAGATCTGTTCAGACTCATGAAAGCGTTCTCCTTGCACAGTGTAGCATCCTCAAGCCTGAGATTAGCCTCACTTACAGTGGCAGCCCTGGGCTTCACAGTTTTAGGGAAAACAGGAGTTTCTGGCAGAGAGAGAGTAGACAGCGAGTACTCTACATCTTTACTCAGTTCAGGTGTACTACCAGCATGCAGCCTTTCCTGCATATCATCTTTACAAACAGGAAAGGCTGCAAGGAGACGGTCTCTTGTCTTTTCCTCATTCTTCTTGATGTAGTTCTCCAGGTCATTCCAAATCTCGTCCACCTCCTCCGAGAGTTTATCTGCTGCAGACTTATGGGACAGCGAATCCGAGTTCGAGGAGCTATCTACTAAGCTCAAATAGTCATTGTCGATGGGAACACGATGGTAAGGACTTTCGTCTTCACTGAACTGGAGACTCTCCTCAGAAACAAACTGCCGTAGGTTGTCACAACATGAAAAGTCTTTCTCCAAGCCCAGAAAACTCCTCCTCTTAGAGCACTTTAAGGGGTCACATTTAAAATTCAATAGTGGTGTTTCTGGAAGCACTACGGTGTCATAGACGTTGTCTTCAACGATCCTGAGCTCATCCAAACTTGAAGTAGGTGCTTCTCTACTGAGTAGTACTTCATCCCTACTGGCACAAATGGAGGCCCTGTTTTGATTTGCTGTCCTCTTTCTGGAGGGTGAATCTAAGCTGCTTTTGTTTTCGGCCTCGTAGAGAGAGTCTCTAGCAGATCTCCGGGGACCACGGTCTGTCTCCTCCCTTCTTGTCAGACCCATCAGCTTTAAGTCTTCGTAGCTTATATTATCATAAACATGTTCAATATCATCGACGGTCAGCTCCTCTGAAGATTCAGGATATGCATTCATAGCGCTCACCTCTGCTCTTTTCGCCTCCCTTCGAGAACCGCGCTCCCCTATTTTGTACTTTGCGCTGGCTAGACACGTGTTACTTTCTCCAGCACTACTGGCCCGCCTAACAATTTTGTGACGAGTGGGGCTGGAAGTCTCATTTTGATGCCCTACCCCCAAGTGCCAGCTGCATGGACGCCCAGAAGAACCCCTCCTTTCTCCACCCACAGCTGAACTGGTGTTGGATGTAGACGCTGATGGTACAAACATCTGGTAATCGTCTTCGTCATCTTCATTCTCATAAGGCGGGCGCCGGCTGGGAAACAACGCCTGCCTGATCTGATGGTCAGTCCAGATGTTTCTGACAGAGGTACTTCCCCCCAGGATATTCATGATTAGCGTGTTGCTCTGGGGCGTGCTGAATTGTCTGGGCAACTGTGGCTGTCTAGCTGCACAGGGAAACGGAAGATCGGTGTTCAACTGGGTTGACTCTTCATCTGAAGGGTCCTTGGAGCTCTGTGGAGATTTGAAATACACAGGTAACATTAGCCTATCCCCTGCAATAACACAGCGATTCCCTCCACTCACAGAACTGCCGTGGCACCAGTGTGTCCCGTGGCACCGGGGCAGGTGGAGATGGGCAGTGAGCAGGCTCCTCGCCAGGGAGCCAACGCCAGACTGCTTTGCCTCCTAATCCTTACCTTAGCTCAGAGCTCACTCTCGGCATTTAATAACATCTTACTTCAAATACAAGACACTGGCTTACGTTAATGCATGAGTAATTAAAGGCAAATTTGTTTGGCAGGAGTTAGATTAAACCTTTTATGCTAACTCTGCAGTTTCACAGTTGGATTAAGCTAATCTGACTCTGGGCTTGTGCCAAAAGTTTTGTTCTCCTCCCTTTCCCCTCGCCTATAACCTTAGCAAAAAGGGTAGGTTATGCTCTCTAGCGCATGCCACTGAAAATTTAATTTTCTTTTTGGAGTAAGTTTTCATCCAGCTCAGCTAGCAGATCTAACTTACAGCAAGGCCACATGCCCGCTAACACTAACACGAAGGATGCTGCAGATGTTCCTGGCCAGAGGCTGGGAAAGGGAGGGAAAGATAATTCCTTTTGGCTTAAGTTAATGCTGATTGGTTTGGTTAGCTGTTTTGGGTTTGTTTTTTTTTTTTTTCCCCTGCCCCAAAAAGAATAGTCTTTCACCATACAGATGAATATTTCAATGATATGAATATTAATACACGACATAAACAGAAGACAACTTATCCGTCTACCTAAGAAAAACAGATTTGACATATCTATGATGCATAGCAAAACAGCAGTTAAAAAAAAAGTTATCTACCTGCATTTCACACTTGTTGAGATTAACACTTCTCCGTTTCTCAACATTTTCAGCAGCTTGACTATTAAGTCTTTTTCTTCCCCCTTTCGATTTCTGCAGTGAGTTTTGCTGCACTCCCTGTGATTTAAAAGAAAATGGCAAGAGAGGGGTAATACAATCTACAGTTCTTTGTACAGTCCTGTTCAGAAGAATCAGTAGCAGCTAGAGCAGGCCAGGTATCCACACTGGGAGGACAAAATGCTCCTGAGTAGTCAGAGCACTGCCACAAGAATGATTCAGAGCCTAACAAACTTTCCTTACAACAACCAATTAAATCATATCAATCCACACAGCTTGTCAAAAGAGGCTGAAGGAAGAATCTGTGTATAAAAATATAGATGTAAAAGAATACATAGAAACTGGACAAGGGAAAGGGCTTAATCTTGCAGCCAAAGTTATAACAGAAGGCGGCGGTCACACAAAAATTCAATTTCCAAAGGTTTATTTGGTTTTAAAAAGGGGAGGAGATAGCCTCACTGTCACTTGCAGTCTTGAGAACCAGAAAGAGGTCGAAACTAAAAAATATGCTCTCATCCAACTTTCCAGAAAGAAAAAACACAACAAAGAGAAGGCCAGAATGTTACGTGTTGGGTCGTGTCCAAACTAATTCAGAGCGAAGGGCACGCATGGTGGGAACAGGGGGAAGGTATTGTTGCCACACCTAGGATTAAACACTAAGCTACTATTATACATTTTTATAGCGGTACCCTTTGTCACTTACTCATTCTTTTGTACTTACTCTTGTCAGGAAGGGAGAGAATTACAAGACACTGCACTACACTGATATGAGATACTATTTTATCAAAGATTTACAATGCAAATAGTGTAATTTCAAAGAGGAAATGTGCAGTAAGCTTCAAAAAGAATTTCAATAATGGGTTTTGGATAATTCATAAAATAAATGGACCACACAAGGTTATGACCTCAGCATCAACTAAACCAAACAAACTGAAAATCTAGATTCGTTAACACAGCCACATTTCAAAGCTGGGGTTTTAGACTTTCAGCAGTACTACATATGTGTGGAAACATGCAGAGTGGGGAAAACTACCACCTGCACAGCAGTAACAGGTAAAGATTCTCATTTTCAGAAATCCTGCTCACAGCTTCTCATATTAAAGTTCACATGTTCCCAGCTACTGCCAGCAGCTCACAGGTCAAGAAACATCACATCACATGTGGCAGTGCCTGAGTCTTAATATTCAAGTCCTTGCTTTGGAGACCTGAAGGCACTGTCTCTGCATGTGGCCTGAAAAGCTTTCTTTCATGGCATCAGCTGGAGAAGCAAGGAAAAGTCCATTGTGCACAACAGGCAAAAGCAATAGCTTTCTGTCAGAACTTGGCTTGAGGACTGCAAAGGACGAAGTAAAATCTTGTTCAAGCAGTGGGGATTGCTTCCTCTGTATAGGGGCTAATATTTACATCTTCTCTGTTAAAATGCAAGACAGTGTTGTGCGAGGTCTAAATAAAAATATTTCTAAGGAGAGAAAGTTGCAAACACTTGTAACACATTCCTGCCTCCTTGCTGTTTTACAGACAATTTTAATCCCTCTTCCTTCCTCCCCAGGAAAAAAGGATTTTGTTTTCTCCCCTCTTTTTCCTACCTGTTCAGACTCTTCTTCATCATCAGCATCAATCTGTTCCGTAGCAGAAGTCTGAAGATTTTCATCCTGATCGCTGCTGTAGGCTGGCTCAACGGACTCTTGAAATTGGCTCTCCAGCCCACTGGCTTCCAATGGAACCTTCTTCCTAGAATTTAGCAGGGCTTCATTCGATCCTAGTTTGGTGGCTTGAGATAACAGGGCTCCTTCAATACTGATCCGCTTAAAAAAAACCACCACAAAATCTTGATTAGAAGTTTATGTATTTCAGTAAGACACTCTTTTACATCTAACTTATAAGCAACGTTTAAGCTACGTTCAGTTAGCTGCACTGAAATGAGATTTATAAAGAAATAAGTAAAACAATCAATATTTTCCCATTGAGTATGTAGGACTGAAAAAAAAAAAAATATACAAAACCCCACACCCTAATCATGGGCTTCAGTGTTATGGCATCCCAGTGAAGTCATATCTAATGGTCCCCGTTTGTAAACCTTCCACACACCTCCACTTTAAATTCCATCCCAAATAAAACCCTAGGACCTGAAATTCAACATGAGACTTCCAAACTGCACTGGAACTTCATTACAAATTCTTATAGAAAATGTAAAAATTAGAAATGCTCATTTCCATCTGCTTAAGCTGTATCTGCTCTGTTTGGTCACATATCACGATTTTTCTTATATCTATCTATCTATCTATACATATCTCAGAATAAGCTGAAACTTTCCAGTCTTATTTAATAAATGCAAAGACAGTTTGTTCTGAAGAATAAACACTATCTTTATACACAGCACTTCCATGATTACAGTGATATTTTTAAGTACCTATAGCATTAGTAATTGATTCTACTGTATTATAAAGTACAACAATATATGGATCAGTCATTTTTTCTTTATTAGAAATTCCTGAAATAGCTTTATTTCTATTTCTTTCATTCCAGTAATCTTATTGGAGACACTAAATAACATTTAGGGGTTTGTTTCCATTCTTAAAATCTACACAACCAAGAAGATACAGATTCTACAGTACAGTCCTCTAAGTCATTTGAATGTGCTAAACGAAGAAATAAAAGAACTGGCTTACCTTCTGCGTATCTGGACTTATATCTGCAAACAGAAATATATACTTCATCGTAAGTGAACAACCAAAACGGCATCAGTCTATGCCTGTTTTAACGCTACACTAATATCCCAATTATGAATTCCCAAAGGGGGGTTAAATGCAGCAGCACTTGAGCAAGCAGACTATAGGGTCTCTGAGAAAACAGACACAGCGTGAGCTTTACCACAGGTCCACCTGAGGCCCTGAGTTTGCAACACTGATACGGTATGAGCAACTACTCACAGTGGCCGAGACTCTGTGTGTTCAGTTGCCAGTTGCTAGGATGTTTACAGGACCAGAACCCAAGCATGGAAAAGCAGACATTAGATTTAAACACTAACGTTTTGGTTTCTTTGCACATATTCTCCTCCTCCCCCCACCATGTATTTAGGGAAAGTTATAGGAGAAGAGGTCCATTTTTACTTGTTCTACAAAGTGCAGAAGCACTGGGTCAATAAACAGTAGACAAAGTAGCTTACCGTTTGACTTCAAAACTTTATGGACTCTAGATGAGGGTTCTGAAAAAGACAACAACATGTTTAAGCATTCCAGCATCCCAAAGAAAGTTAGGGGCATCTTGGCCAATTTTTTATAACGCAGATATCAAAATTTAAGCTTCTGAGCCCATGCAAGGAAGCCAGTTTTTCATTTCTTCATCACCCAATTTCCTGACAAAAAAGGATTTGTTGAAGCGTCAAACCTACAGCTGTTACCAAAGAACACACCTTTTTCTTAATGCAATAGCAGCTGCCCTCCATACAACAAGGCACATGTACATTTTTATCTCATATTAAGAGTCCTGCTTTCAAAAGACTTGGTCACCTCTGTTATTGCTCTAAGCCGCTGGAAGTTTCCTATTAGAAATATGTATGAGGTACCAACAGCTTAGCAGGGCTTTAAAAGTGTAAGTAGCCGAACGTTACATAGGAGGCCATTTGATCAGTATTTTCATTATTCCTTTTACAGGTAAAGCAGCACCAATGCAATCCTTCTCCTCAGAAACAAAGGAAGATGCCTGAAAAGTAATTAAAATTTGGTTGTTTTTCAGACACAAATGCTGCTGTATGATAAATCACTACACCACTACTCTCATGAACCTTGTTTAAGTCATTTCCAATTGACAAAGTTCCACACTCCAAACTGGAAAGGTCTTTAAGTAGCTGGAGAGGGGAACACAGTGACAGCAATACAAAGTCACCCAACTACGCAGACATTGGTAGTGGCTTCAAGAGGAAATGAACAGTAACTGTGGATGTATGTTTGAGCTAGGAGAAAAAAAAAACACCCTGAAGTGAGCATAACCACCTCTCAAATCTCTGTTATCCATCAGGCAGACACCACACCAGGTAAAGATAGTAATCATGTTTAGAAGTAACAATCCTATCATCATCAGGATGGAATCACTTCTGAACCAGTAGTTATTTGGGGGGAGGGGGAGGAGGAATGTCAGATTTAAATAACGTGACTGGCCTTCCTGCGTATGCATTCTTTTATCCATTAGAAAGTACCAACTGTTCTTTACGCATCCACCATTAGGAACGTATATTCATAAAATTAAACAGTGGATAAAAAAAACAAATAATCACACAAACAGCAAATGGTCAATAAGATGCTCCATCCATATCCAAAAGATTCAGTGCCACATTAAACCTGCGTGGTGTGCAGGTTAAAGACCAATTCCACGTGCCCAGCCTCACCCAACCCTAAACAATCCTGCTTTTTCGTTCTGTCATCTTGGTGGTAAAGGAGTTTATTCACCTGATTTCCTTCTCATTCTGTGAGGAGCAGTGCCTTCTTTAGGCTGGTACGATGATTTTGTCTCTCCCTCGGGGCTATAGTGGAAGCCCGGGTGATCTGTGGAACAAGCAGAGGCACCAGGATAAGAGGGTGGCAAGGGGGCCACTTCGCACCCCTCGCAGCTCTCTTTGGAGGCAGAGCCATCCTCCCTTTATGACTGATGGAGTGGCACGTCATCAGCGCCTGAAGCAAGACAAGCAAGACACGCAGCTGGAGGGTAGCTGTTAACCACCCCGCCACGGAAACGCTCTGCCCATTTAGCTGTGCCTTGCTCCAGACGGCTAACCTAGCAACATTTACCCACCGTCACCACATTTGTTTGCCAGTTTCTCAGTCAGAGCCTTCCTGACCGATTTTCTACAACTGTGTAGATAAATACCAAGCCTGCTTTACTCCAAGACTTCCTCAGCATTTACATCGTAGGACTATTGTTCTCTTTTCAAAAGCACCGTGAAGAGCCAACGCCGCTTGTGCCTGCAAAGGCAGCAAGCAGAAGATGCCACAGCAGGGACGGTGCAGACGGGACCGCGCTCAGAGCGCAGACAGCAGCATCACGTGGGCTTCCTGATGCTGGCTCCTGGGACACACACAGGTAAACTCCTGAGACATAAGCACCAGCCTCGCTATCCTCCAGCTGCAGGTTGGCCAGCACGAAGAAGTCATAACACTGCTATGTGCTTCTTCAAGCTGCGTTTGCTTATTGCTAGCCCTTCAGTGGGTGCTTAGCCAGAAGGGGTTTATGCTACAACACAGGAAAGAGCATACATTTAGTCAGCGTGGAGTAGGCAAAAAAGAGCGGCCAGTGTTTACAGAGGGTCTTATCTGCCTCTTCCTTGCTCATCATGAGACATAACTTGCTGGCCGCAGATCAGTCAGCCCAATGCCTACAGAGGTCCACAGGATCTGCACCCAATTTTGGGTTTTCCAGCAAGGTCGTAATTCAAGGAACATAAGCACCTTGGGCTTCTTGCGTCTCAGGTGAAACCAACAGTTATAGGCAAACTTCTGAAAATGGTTTCATTCATTTTTTTTAAAACAAAAGTGAAAAAGAACCAACTTACGTATGGCATCCATTTCTAGAATTGCCTGCTTGGCCTGAAAGAGAAAAAGCCACAAATGAAAGAGTTAAGCTGTAAGCAGAAGGACAAATTACACTGTATAATACAGATAGTAGTGAGTTTGTGTGTAAGCAGCAGCAAGTTTAACTTCTGAACTAATAAATACGGTTAGCAGCGTTATTTTCTGTCTGTATTGGACATGTTACATATGTGAAGAAGAATTTTGCGGGCAGGAGCTTACCAGTGCTTATCCTCAGGGCTTCACACAAAAATCTCCTGTTCACTGCACCCGGCTGCTCTGCCTTGGTGCCCACCTCCCTCTGGAGCTCATCCCTATGGCACCCGCCGGCACAAGGAACTTCTGACCTCAAAAACTACTTCGGCTTCAACGACAGGGCTGCACACGCTGGGTCTGCCCCATGGAGACTCAAACCCCCCGAGATCTCTCTGCCAGTCCCAGAATTTAGAGCCGCCAATACTCATCTCCATGTTCTGCTGGGACTGGCACAAAACCGGCCCTGGTATCTGGGAACCACACTGGGGTTTTGTGGTTCACGGAATATTTCCTCCCTAAAAATCAAATAGTCGAACTCCTTTATTATTTTTCAACTCTGAAGTTGTTGGCGCAGAAAATGCCATCAACCTTGCTTCCTTTAAGAGTTTCCTTGAGGAACAGCTATTAAAAAAAAAAAATCATCATTTGGTTTAAGTAAGATTGAACCAGGGTAAAAAGCGTCTCATGATTGCTTAAAATGTGTCACTTCTC